CCCGTGTCAATGGCAGCCGAAAGCAAATAGCGAAACAGAGGCTGACAGCATGTTTAGACAGTATGACATTGTACATAAAGTATGATTTGGCAAGATGCATAACAGAACCACTAATTTCCCTTGTGGTAAAACTTCATTAGAAGACATTCAATTTTATAGATTCGAACTGATTGTTCTTAAGTTTTCCAACCCATGAATAATGTTTTACTTAAAGAAACATTAGTATCCTGCAGCGTTTTATGTTCAGTAAATGTATGCATATAAGTTTTAACTACTATTCCAGATTATTCACTGACATGACAAGTTTCCTGCTGTCAACTAGTAAATTATAAATATGTACACACAGATCATGTTTATATACTTGCACCATAGTAACATTTTATATATTTATAGAGTCACACCAAAAATGATCAATACTTAAATAGAGGAATAGTATTGAGTTCCAGTAAGTACATGAGTCAATCAACATAGGATCAGCTTTAGGGTCGTTGACATTTAATTCAGAAGATTGCCTTTAAAATCTTAATTATGGCTTCAGGATTCCGTGAATCTCTGTGGTATAAGGAAACCTAAAAGTAATGATTTTCATGACGTAACCTCAAATCAGGATTTGTGACATCACAATATAAATCTGAAATTGTGCCCTAATCTGCCACTTTGCAAACTAGGTTACAAGAGATTACTAACAGAAGCTTGGAAGATGAGGATTTATGAATCACTGTTACTGTTCCCATTCAAAAGATTTGTACTCCATCAACTTCAGAAATGTGCTTTTGAAGCTGAGTGGTAAATAAATAAAAACAAAAGCAAGTAAACACATCTAATGATTTTAATTTTTGTAGAGTAGATGTAATGTGACTTCTTAAATATATTAGCAAAACATTTGATATATATTGTCTAAATTAGCCTTTGACTGTTGAGAAGCTAGGTTGCAATGTTTGCAAGTACCTTTTTCTTTACCATGATCTAATAAAAAAGCTCTCTAATCCTTGTGTAATATATTGCGAGCAGCATCAATTAAATAATTCAAAAATCTGGTGCAGTTTGGTTCAGTTTAGCTGGTTTTCTAGAATTCTTTGAGAGCATCATCAATATAAAAAGTTTATCTGATATAGGTGGTGTAACCATATTCCAGAATGTCCTTATTTTGCAGACAAAGTCTTTAACTATATAACTCATTTTAGACACTACCCTTTTCCTTATTCTTCATCTCAGTCTTTAAAATTAGCTCAACGTACCTTTCCTATATACTATATATATTTTTCCTTTGGGATTTTAACTGTAAGGTGATTGTTTGGACAGATTTTACATGCAGCTATTTTAAAACATTCTAAATTAGGGCTTCTTTTTGTAAGATATAGTACGTTGCAAACTAAGCTACAGTTAATTTATTTAATTCCATTTTTGCAATGAAAATAAATGCATGGTACTTAATCAATTGATTCAGTTGGCAAAAAACCTCTCAGATCAGAAGAAGATTGAGTAGGAAATAGCATAACATTGCAGGCTACTTCTCCTGACTGCTGGCTGCCATGATTTGGTAGTTTGAGTCTCACCAGCTGAAGGTTGACTCAGACAACATTGATTCTTCCACATTGTTGGGGCAATATGCTGATGCTGTAAACCGCTTAGAGAGGGCTGTAAAGTACTGTGAAATCATATATAAGTCTAAGCGTGACCCGTCAAAAGGGCGAATGACAAAACCGCGCCCGACTAAACCGCATCGCTGACGTCATCAATGCGGCGACAATAGCCAGCGGGGAGAAAGAAGGGCGCTTTAAATAGCGCGTTGAAAGAAAGCCGATTCAATTTAAGGTAAGGGTTAGGTTTAGGGTTAGGTTTAGGGTTAGGTTAAGGGTTAGGGTTAGGGTTAGGGTTAGGTTAAGGGTTAGGTTAAGGGTTAGGTTAAGGGTTAGGTTTAGGGTTAGGTTAAGGGTTAGGTTTAGGATTAGGTTTAGGATTAGGTTTGGGGGGGTTAGGTTTAGGTTTAGGGGTTAAGTTTAGGGTTAGGGTTTACAGCGTGCTTCTGTCTCTGTGCTGTTGTTGCCCTGTTGATGACGTCAGCGACGCGGTTTAGTCGGGCGCGGTTTTGTCCTTCGCCCTTTTGTCGGTGAACCAAGTCTAAGCACTATTGCTATTGCTATATATGGATTAAGTGTATACTGTGGAGCTACTCATCCAAGTAAGCCATAGGCTATGGGAGATTCTGATTTAAGTGTTTTAGAAAGTGGAAGAGACTGCTCTATTAATTTTTTTTAAAAAAAAAACCTTATGTGCCTAAAGCATGAACCAAACTTTGGATTAGAAGTTATACAGGTGAAATTTTGTATTTTGTTGCTTATCAGCCAAATCTTTTAATTTTGGGCTAAAGACTTTAACATTGAGTTGCTTTAGCAGTATGTGCCAATTGTCTAAGGAATACAGACACACTTGGATATTATCTGACTTATCCTTTACTATGCTGTTAAGCTCATTAGTCAGGCTGCAGACAACCATCCATCTTCAATGTCTTTTTTGTTGTAGCATTGAAACAGTTCCTTAAAATGACTTTAGCATAGTTTTTTATGTTGTTTTATGAGACTGGTCTGTTACAACACTTAATGGTACGAAACTGTACAAGTATCGTTTGTTATATGTTGGCCCTTTCCTCTGTTTTATTTCCCAACGTCAGCAGAATGACTTCAAGTTAGTTAAGCAGAGCTTCTTTTGAAATTTGTGGACATATATCCACATGGAGAACGAAATTGGTCTTATTTTCATGAAAAACTGAAGATTACAATTTTAAATCAACCTTTTCAACATATATTCAATCTTTATAGTGAAATGCTATAGCAAAACACCATGGCTGTATTAAGCAAATACCTTTGGGAAAGCTTTGGGAAGAGATGCTGTTAGAGACAGAAAATGAAGGTGCAATCCAGCAGATGCACATACTATTATATAAGAGGATATTTAGAATATATATATATATTAAGCAAATACCTTTGGGAAAGCTTTGGGAAGAGATGCTGTTAGAGACAGAAAGTGTGTGTGTGTGTGTGTGTGTGTGTACACACGCACACACAAACAAAATTAACAATTTTTAAGGCTAACAATTTGATAATTTTATATAATTTTCCTTTATGTTAGTTTATATTTTATTGTTTTTTTGAAATTGTATATATAATTTAAAAAACAATAAAATATAAACTAATATAAATGGAAATTATATAAAATTATCAAATTGTTAGCCTAAAAAATTGTTAGTCTTATACATGGTATACGTTGGGTTTTTTCTGTTACGCTACTGCCACATATAAAATCCAAAACTATTTTGTTCTAAAAACAATTACTGTAATCCAGCTTCAGGTGTTTGTTTATTATATAATTAGTTAAGTCCCGTCCCCCCCATGGTCCACTGATATCATTTCAAGCTCCATTTAGCTGGCTAGACCAAAGAAGCAATAAGTACCCAGATTTTAGAAAGGTATTTTTAATTGTAAATATGGAACTTGGAAACTGTAAGTGGAATTTCCTAGCTTCATTTAACTGGAAGTTAATTAATGTGGAGTCTCTTTGAATATGTCATGATACTTTTGTTTAATTTTTTTTCTATCTGGGCTTTGTTGCCCTCTATGAGATAAATTGTCAACTGACCTGTCTTTTGCTTTTACTTTGTTTTCTTTCCTAGCCTCCTTGTTATTTCTCCCACACCATAAGATGTATTAATCTAGTGTTCATATTCAGTGTTTGGCGTTCAATTCAGGGTTAGTGGAAAATTTAAGCGCTTTATCCAGCTTTAAGAGCACACGTTCTACTTATGTAGCGGCACTTCATATTTCTCTTCTTGGCCAAGATTGCCCAAAATCATCACTGAAGGGTGTTGTAATCTTCTGAAGAAGATCATGATATGGGATTGAACAATCAGTTCCTCTGTCAGAATAGTACCAGAATAATGCCAATGGATTTCTGTTTAATAAAAATAAGAAATATGCTTTACTTAGATTCAATTTACATTTGAAATGCTACTTTTGTAAATCTCTGGTCTAGAAAGAGCGTGTTCAGGATGCGAGAACTTTCAGAAAGAACCACCACATAGATTCTTCCTGTGCCTGCCTCTTTGACTAATAAAGTTAATGAGGCATCCTATTGTCTACTGGACTACACATTGACCTTTGAATCAGAGTTTTGGATGAGAGACAATGACATTTTTAATACAGTCCAGCAAGCCTAAGCAGGATTATAAATTCAGTGTTCCCATTTCTTAGTCTAGCATTAGCCACAAGGTACTCTGTGTAAAGTTCCGTAATAAATATAGTTCCAAAACTATGTAACTTGGATGCTTTTTGATCATCCCCAGACCTCAAAAATGTTCCAGTTTTTTTTTGAATGCAAGGAATTATTGTCAATTTATCTCAGACCTCTGCTGTAATTGTATTGTTTAAAGCATGTTTAACCTTAATCTCATTTTAACAAGGGATTGGCAAACTTTGGAGATGTCGTGTGCCCTTATATAATCTCACATGATGACCCAGAAACTTGAATATTTTTTTTTAAAGGGGGAACTCAGTTCTTAGGAGATCATTAAATCTTACCTTCCATGATTTTATGCAAAACAGGAAAGTCGTGAGATGTCAAACAAATGTCAAAATCTGTTGACAAATTTGGGTTTCTTGTACAAGAATTTGTGAGATTTCATAGATTCATGGAAACATCATAAAATTGGGTGTGGTCACCTGTTAATCTGCTTAATGACTATCACAGTTTATAACTGTAATTGCAAGTTCAATTATGGTTGTGAGTCCAGAACTATCTGTAATTTAATTTGTCTTTCTGCCTTTCTTTCAACACAGTACCATCAGCATTCCCCATTTGGGCCTTATTTTGTGATTAAAAAAAGAATGAAATGTTATAAATAAGCAAATAATAACCTGGTTTTTTGGGTCTTTCAATGGTTGTTTAATGCTTCAAATATTTATATGATTCATTTTAATCAGAAAAGAATTAGAAAAGCAATTAATTCCTAATAAAGATTTATCTTAAATGAAAAAAAATTGTAAAATAGTTTGAAATATACTTAGAAAAAAGTTTATTTTCATTCAACTGCAAAGTAAAATTGTCTCCAAAGAAGAGACATAGATGCCTATAAATGAGCTTTCCATAATTCCAGAACCATAGTTGACTCATCTTGCTGATGAAAACCTGTTTCAATTCTCAAAAGAATGGCTACCAAAAGACAAATTAAAAAAAAAACGTAAAGCCTTAAGATAGTGGCTTGTCTAGGAAAAGAAGCAGTTTTATAAAGTGATTTCCTTTGGCTCCAAAACAGTTTTTGACTTTCCTAGAGTTGTACTTTGAATAAAATCAATAGGAATTCATATGATTTATAAATGCATTCTAAACCATAGTAACAAGATAAGCATCAATGAGCAGAAATAGAGTACCATGAAAGTTATATTTAACAATACTGTATGAAATTTGCATTGAAGAACAATCTGATCCTTTGTCAGTATTGGTTTTTATTATTTTATTTATTATTACCTGTTCTTCTGTGGAGTTTCAGCATTGGAAATATTTTCTAAACTATACCTGCTACTATAATTTGAAACTGATGTTTGTTTTTCTTGCAGGGATCATCTTTTAGCTGTCAACCACATGAAGCTTACAATCTCTTTTTAACAGCAGCCATTGGTGATGGCATCAAACTTTGGGATTTGAGAACATTGAGGTAACAGCCAGTCATTTTGCTGTTTGCTGTGTTTCCTTTATTACACTTTAGAGGTGCTTTTTAATATATATTTTTCTTGCAAGAGTTCACACTTTGAAGTACTTGATATTTGCAAAGTTATGGAAATTCTACACAATTTGATGAAGTTTGGTTAGTCCAGTTTGGAAACAGCTGCCTAGAACACCTCAGAAATAAGGCAACATATAAATATTTCCAAATAAATAAGTTTTGCTTGTTTAATTTATCCCCAAACATAAATTATCTTATGGTTCCTGTTAGATATCAAATAATTTAGGGAGTACAAAATTGCAAGAATGATTGTGGGGTCACATAAAAGTCAAAAGGTTTGTTCTGTGACATTTTGTCTTCCTCAAGTGCAGTTATGCTTTGGAGACACAGCTTCCTAAATACAGCATACAAACAACCAATAAAGATTGTGTGGTTATTTAGGCACATGATGAAAAATAAACAGTGTACATTTGTCCTTGCATGAGATTAAACTGGGGAAAAAATGGAGAATATTGCATAGGTTCCTTAATTTAAACACATTCTCACCAATAAAATCTAAATATTGTATTAAAACATAACTTAGTCATGTGATGAAATGCCAGTGACTGGAAAAATAACTGTCATAAAACCTTGGGGAAAGACAAATATAAAAGAAAAAAATTCATCAGGAGGAGAGATTGGGGAGCATGGTATGTGCCATATAAGTCAGACAAATGTAAGGACAGGGAAAAACTGATGTATCCCAATTGGCAGAATTCCATAACCACTTTACTTAAGGATTAACTATTTGTTGCATTGTATCTTATGAGGAAAAATTGTAATCTACAAAAACATATGTGTAATGTTTTTCTTCCTCTAAGACACCACAGGATTTTTGTTGATTATAACTGAATATGCAAGTTTATATTATTTATGATATAATATAACTTCCCTATAAATTGATTCTTGACTCTAGTTTTTGTTGTTATGAATGAAAATGGCATTATATTACTCCCCTCCCCCAAATTTAAGTGATATATTTTTTTAAAAAAATTGCAATGAACTTAACAAACTGGAATGCACTTTTTTATCCTTAAAAAGTCTTCAATTGTCTGAACTGAAAAACATTTCAATATAGGGTTACAAACTACAGAAGCAGTACAGGAAAGTAACACATGGGAGATCTTTATAAATCATTAAAAGTCCAAGTCAAATGTTTTGGAAAAAAATTAGTCTGGAAGAAGTTGGAGGCAACTCTATAAAAGAAAACCAACAGAATCTTACCTTTTAAATAAGCATTAGCACATTTTTAAAAACAATAATGGCTTATTACTCCTAGCAAATGTCTAAATATAGTAAAATGAAATATGTGGGATAAAAGGTTAACTGTATTATATCCTTATGTTTTTTCTATCAATTGGTTTAACTACTATTTATGAATAGTAAAAAGTTAATTTTTTAAACAGGTTACTTACTTGCTGTCTCTTTTTATAACAATATTTGAGGGGGTATGGTAAAATAGTTAAAATACTATCTGTGTAATTTATCTATATTGTAATCCTAAATTATATAGTATAATATGCTATACTGTTGGTTACTTCTAGAGTATTTGATTCCCCCCCCCTACTTTTTCTCCCTTCTATTTATATTTCCTTTACTTTGTATTGTCTCTGTCAGTGCTGCTGACTGGTTTAATTTAACATCATGGTAGTATGCTATGATCTCAGTCACAGTTGACTTTGTGGGGTTGATACCATTGATGGCCTTGTCCATTTTGGCTCCTAATTCTGGTAATCCTAATTCTGGTAAAACAAATAGGTGGAAATTTTAAAATCTGAGTTCCAAATTATGTAAGCATTCTTTATATAAAAAATAATATTCACCAGTACCTACTCCATTTATGGAAGTATATAACAGTCCTTGGATCAAAAGTTCTAGTAATGAAGCTGTAGAAGTGTTTCAAAATATTCTATCAGAGGCCACAGCAATTGTTTGTACACAAATTTAGGAAGATTTTATATAAAAAGAGAAATAAGAATGTAGAAATGGTTGGATCATGCAAAATCCTAACTACATATTCGTTTGGTTGACCAGATTCTCCCAAAAATGAGAAGCTTGCAGGCTGGAGTAATTCTCTTTTTCTCATCCATGGTAGTCAGATGTATGGTCCCTTAGATCTTCATGCCTAGTTTTGTATCTGCACTAAAGGCACAATTGCCTCACAAATTACCAGAATTATTTGAAGAAGATAACGTCTTTAATGCCAATCACTCTTCAGTTGTGATAGTAAAGAAAAAGTAACTTTACAACCAACACTCACATTTACGAGTGTTTCGCAGGTCTATAATCCTAAACACAGTCTCAATTTCAGTTAATCACCACTTTGTTTATTGACTGAGTTGCCAGGTTCAGTAGTGGCTGCTAAATAAGGAATACCTATACAGTACAAGCTTGTGGACTGAGCAAAGTAGTAAGACACCAGTTCTTGGAATGAGGATTCAGAAGGTTATGGTGGGAGAAAAAATAGGGAGGATAATACAGAGATGCTTCAAGCTACGCTGGGGTAAGCTATGCTTTATCTGTGAAAACTCAGAGCTTGTGGGTCCTTTCGGATTCCCTGATGATGGCACAATTAAGGATGGTGACTAATTATATGCATTCTTGGAGATGTCAGATTTGGCCATGATGACACATGCTATTGTAATATGCCCTTTGACCTACCATAACAGTCTGAGAAAAGTACTCAGAAACAGAAAAGAGCTACTCCAAAATGCTGCAGCCAGACTGATGTCTAGAACTGATTAAAAGGAATATGCAATTCCCTTCTTAATACCCTTCCACTGCTGGCAGTTTGTTCCTGGAGCCATGTCAAAATGTTGGTTATGATCTATAGTTATATATAACTTGGACCCAATTTATTTGAAAGATCCTATTCTCCTTTATGAGCCAATTCATACTTTTAAAATTGCAAAATAAGTCATTCTCTCTGTGTTGCCACAGTTAGGGGTACCTTCTGCTGCTACTGGAATTACTTCTGTGTTTACATTTTACAAATTTAATCTTTCTCTAATGAGTCACAGGGAGGACAATTCTTTGATGGAATGTTGGAATAAAAATACAATAAACAAGTGATAATAAATTTTTCAGAAGCATACTTTTTGTAAAGAAAAATCAGGCAAGTCATTAAATAAATTATTAGAGAAATAAAGTTTGTCATCTATTTCTAAACTTATTTTGGAGCAATTTGTAATGTAAAGAGTTTAGAAATATTGACAAGCTGATTTGCTTTAGACTCTCCAAATATTATTTCGGGCATTTTCTGCCTATATCCTGCTCATAGAATGCACGCGAAGCATATTAACTACATGCCAGTTATCCCAGTCTTTCTTCTGGCACCTAAAAGTTATGTGACAAGGATTTAATTGCATAGAATACCACCAGTAAGCTGATTTCTTTGAAACATTTGTAAGTATTTTTGCTTTCAGCAGTACATGGCATTTGAATTATTGATTGCTTCTAGGTTAAGTCAGAAGGGAGGAAAAGATACATGCCCTTCATGATCTATGAACATCTTGATCCATGAATGTTTATCCACAGAGATATATGAGTCTGGATTTCATAATTGTATATTATGAGAACTATTAGCTTGAATTTCATAATTGTATATTATATTATGCTTCCACTGTAAAAAGTTGATTAATGTGTAAAGGTTTTTAATTGTTTTCCAGCCAGTTTTTAAAAACAGCTTAGATAAACTATTTCTTCACACATAAGATCTATAAGCTTTGGGACTTATTTTATGCCTTTGGAAAAGACAAAATGGTTTTATATTGCCATAAACCAGGAGCCACCATCCTCATATATAAATCTGAGATCTCCAAGAGTTAACAAATTAGCTGTTACTACAATGTAACAAATTCTCATCTATTAATCAAAGAGACAATATATCAGTGATGTTTTGTTTAGAGTTCCATCTCAGACACAAAAGAAAGAAGATATTGTACTCAGTTATGGAATGCTCAACTGTTTAGTAGTAGGAACATTTATTTCCTTTATTTTATCCAGATGATTTGTTGAATATGTTCTGCAGCATATAATAACCACTGTGAATAACATACCCAACGGAAAGCCTCTTACAAACTTCTTTTGAGATAAACAATTTCTTACTGATATAGATGGGGGCATTGTTTGGTGACTCTAAAAAAACTAAGCAGGATGGAAAGTGATTAGCTCTTGGATGGGCAGCCACTGGAAAATCCCAGGAATATAGAGTAGACTGGAAGGTCTTGGAAAAAGATAGTGGCAAATGGCTTCCATATTATTGCCAGAAGGACTAGTCAAACTGGTTTCAAGAATGTTTCTTGTATTAAATTATTGTTATTAAAGACAGTTTTCTAAATTATTTAGTCATATTATGGTACTGTGTCAGGTTTCAACCAAGAACAACAATCCAGCCAAAGTTCAGGTTTTTATTTTCTTCTGTCCTATAGGCAGAATCTTGCCAGACAAAACTTATACTCCCCTAACCTATCAGTTTACCCTGGGAGATTCTAGGGAATAGCTATGCTCAATCTCTTCCTCCCTCCATGATACATCTCCAAACTGTGTTGTCTCCCCCCCCCCCCCCGGAATGCGTTCCCTACTTCTTGGGAAACTGCTGCATTACTGAAATCCATCACACCACCTTCCCCTTCTTAGATATATTCCATTGCATCTTGGCTATTAATTAAGGTTTTTTAAATTTATGTCTTAAAGACGTCATGTAGAACAGCATTGAAAAATTTCCGAACCTGTATAAGAAAAAATGATATTGGAAAATAAACTAATGCAGGTATTCATCAAAAGATAACAAATCATTACAATCCATTCATCAAATTTGGGAAAGGAAAATCATATATCTTCATGTCAATTGTCTGTTTTTAGATAAATTAGGAACAGTGCGCTTATTTTAATTTACATTTCTTGATATTGTGTTTGTGAAGAATTTTGCTGATTTTATCTGTGGTGCCTTTGATGTAAGGGAGGAGGGCGATGCCGTTGTCCTGTTCTGTGTCTCGGTTTTTTGGGGGGAGTCTCCCTTTGGATTAGGTTGGTAATTGTTTTTCTTTGGAATCCGTTGGAGATTAATACCAAAGAAAAACAATTACCAACCTAATCCAAAGGGAGACTCCCCCCCCCAAAACCGAGACACAGAACAGGACAACA